GGGTCTGTAGTGTTCTACTATGATCGATACTTACTGTAGTGACACCTTACATACATAACGTCTATAAGAGTTGTCGCCCTTGGCACACGAGATTTAGACAATGAGTGTTAAGCAAGAGAGCGGCCATTAATAAATGTGGAGTTCCTGATTGAATTCGTCTGTGTTTAATCCTGTGGTTTAATCCGAAGATACCAACATAACATTTTGGCGACGAGTAGTGGAAATCGAACATACCGTTGTTGTGGTTGTAATTAAACACAAAAAACGAACATGGCTCAAATGATAGAGCTGAATAACCTGTCGAAATTTGAACCACGTGGTGACCAAAATCGATTATAGCAAACGTGTGAACGTTGGGTCAGGAGTTTCGAATTTTTTCGCTGACGGTAAAGGTGTTAAAGATGCCGATCAGAAACGAGCTTTATTGTTGCACTGTGCCGGTGAAGAAGTGCAGGACATATTTTTTAGATGAAAGTAGATGAAATGGCTAAGATACTGTATAAATCTGCAAAATTAATCTGACAACGGCTGTTGGTCACACACACTGACATGAAGCAGCAGGCAGGCGAGATAGCAGACCAACTGTGCAGTAATGCATCATTAGGTCAAATGCCCCCTGGAAGGAAAACGAGCGGATGGCAACCGTCTATCGTTCGTTCATACCTCGAGGGTAGCGGGTTTGTAGATTGGTGATCCAAAACCGTTCTCTCGTACGTCGTCTCGTTTCATCCCATGTAGGGCAATGATCTATGGCAACAACCTGCATGTCTTTCCAAATGTGGCTAGGCATATTGAAACGCCTTGCCACAGGGAAGTCTGGTTTGTTCTGCTTGATGGAGCAGCGGTGGTTGTTGATCCTGACATTGAGCTGGGTGCAGGTCTCGCCCACGTACTGTAAATTGCATTTATTGCAGGTAATAAGGTACATATATGTCCCGTTATAATTATTTTATAATTGTTATGTTCATACATACATATACGTCCTGTTATACTTAGCAATTTATGTCACTCTGACATCGACAAATCCTGCCTCGAACCTTGACTCCACTTACATCGTCCAGCAAAATGAGGTAAGAAATAAATAGCAATTCTTAGAGAATAACTATATCGGACGACTATCGGTGTTTTTTCTGTATCGTATGGAGTGTTTTTGGATATAAGATATATAAGATATAATATAAGAGATGAATTGAGTTATGATATATAATAATATTTCATGAACTGAAAATGATTAAAAATTGATTAAAATTAAAAACTTCGAATTATTGCATTTTAAAAACATGTTAAGACGAAAGAATTTTGTCAAATGATAATTGCAGTTTAGATATCCTCACTGAACTTAACAAATTGTGATTAACTAACCTTAAGGACAATTTTATAAAAATATCTATACAATCATTGAGCAAAGACTTTTCGATGTTTACCGGCAGGAAATATGGACACTTTCCTAAAAATAAGAGACCCATGGGCCTTAACGGTCACCTGATATATTTATACAGAGAGTTGATTTTGATTTTAACATGAACAAAAATATTATTCAAAGTGACAAAAAACAATAAAACCACCTTATTCAATATCTAGCTTACAGATTTAAGACTAAAAAAGTATTTGAAACTAGCACCTCTGATTCTAAACAAGGAAAATGAAGAAATTTTAGCACACTGACGCCTTTTGGCCCACCCTCCAGCCCTTGGGGGTAGGGCTGACTCAAAATTGTCAAAGTATCAAACTGTCAACTCAGGGCTATAATTCCATTCACGTTATTAACATGTAATATTCAAAGTATCATTTGTCATTATAAACCATAATAAATGTTGCCCCCCCCCCC